ATTATCTTCTGTGTCTGTGTTAATTGGTTTCCCTTTTCTTTGTTGAAGAGGGTCTGTGCAATCCTTCTGCCTAGTCCGCCATCTTGCCGGAACTCCTGGTCTCCCCTGACATTCTTTAATATATTCAAAGGAAAGAGATTGTGGGAGTTCAAAAGGAGCCCAAGTGGTGCAGTGGTTAAAGCACTCAGCTACAAACACAAAGTTCAGCAGTTTGACCCCACCAGCCATTCTGCAGAAGCAAGCAGTAGCAGCAGTTTGCTTCCATAATGATTTATAGCCTATAGGGCAGTTCTACCCTACAGGGTTGCTATGAGTCAGAATGAATTCAATGGCACTGGATGGGAGGTCGAAAAAGAAATGTGAAGGGAGAGTGCCTAATGCTGAATACCATGGGATGAGGTTGTTATCACTTCTTTTCCCACCAGAAACGCCCCCAAGAGCCTACTGACTGTGCTATTTATACTATATCTGACTGTACCAAGCCTACTCACAACACTAAGCCTTTTTACATACTATACCTTCTACCTAGAACATCGTTTTCCTTCTTTGTCTACTTAATATAACTCATCTTTCAAGACTTACCTTAAACATCATCTCCTCCAGGAAGTTCCCTGTGATGGATATAAGTGTTGTTCCTATATACTTCCACAGTATCCAAAGTATTAAAATTGAACATCCGGAGCTCTGGTAGCATAGTGCCTAAGGCATTTGACTGCTAACCAGAAGGCTAGTGGTTCAAACCCACCAGCCACTCCTCAGAAGGAAGACTGGGCAATCTGCTTCTTTAGAGATACCGCCTCAGAAACCCAAGGAGAGGTCGCTGTGAGTCAAATCGACTTGACAGCAGTAAGTTTGTTTTTTGTTGTTTTTGATGTTTACTGTCTGTCTCCTCATAACTGTGATCCTCTGGGGAAAGCTGAGACCGTATTATTTATCCCTTATTCCCACACAACAAATGGCACATAGTAAATGCTTAAGAAATATTGTTCAATAAAGGAATAAGCCAAAATAACTAGTCGGGCTTTAAGAATGACTGGGAGGAGCCCTAGTCTGACATGTCATATACAGAAGAAGATCCAGATACGCAGAACAGCGTCAAAATAATGCATGAGCTCTGCATAGGGCTTAAATGAAAGAGACCCACCACCCAGAAGTGAGAGATCAGGATACTACAGCATCCAGAGTCAGGATTTGAAATTTTATACTAAATCTAGCAAGGGAACTACTGGATAGCTCAGATAAAGAACGATGTTAATAGTCAAAAAAGAAGTGTCAGGAAAAAGCTTTTTACTGTACCCTACAGACAGACACAAGGAATCTGAAAAGAATACCATAAAAATAGAAAAACGCTCTAGAATATAGCAGTTGATTCTCCTAAGGCAAAACATATACTATTAAATGTTTTTTAAAATCACAGAATTGAAAGAGACCTGAGAAATCACCTGGTCTGATATCCTACATACCCTAAAAAGGAATTCTTTTAAAATTACTCCTGCTGAATCATAAGTTGTCAACTACTAAAAGGGCTAAATATTTTAAAAAACAGAGCAATGAGCTCTCAAATACATTCTAAGGTAAAACACTCAAAGCTTATGATTCTATATACATTTTTTTTTTACACAAATCACAGCCTGTATTATACACAGGCACATATAAAGAACGCTTAGTAAAATAAATTCAGATATTCTTAAAATAATTAACATTTGAAACTCACCTGTATAAAACTCCACATTGAAAATATTTATTATCACTACTACTGCTGAGAGCAGCAGGAGGTAAAAGATTACATACGAACTATACAGATCATTGAAAAAATCTAAAACACAAAAGAGGTAATAAATTAGTAAAGCTTATTCAGCCATTCAGTTCAGTACACTGAAATAGAAAAAGGGGTTAAACCACAACTATAATTTAAATTTTAAAAAGTACCTTTTCTTCAAGAATCTAATCACATGACATTGACAGATCCAACAGGACATCAACTAGAGAACTATAGTTTGAGTTATTTGGACTTGGCTCTGTGTACTTAAAATTATACTAGAATTTCTTTTAGACGACCCAGATGTTAACATCAAACCAAATACCACCATATGCAAATATATTTCATTGTGTGAAATAGAGAAGTATCATATTTAGTAGTAAACAAGCAAAGTTTCTTTTCAAAATATAAACAGTATTTTTCAGACCACATCTTAATAAATGAAATTAGCCCCTACAGCTAGAGTCAAAGTGGTATGTGACATCTCATCTAAATGAGCTGAAATTTGTTAAAATTATAATATCCCTGTAAATCACACTAACACAGCCACACTCTAGAGTAGGAAAATAATCAATACTCCTCTTCAAATCACAGCAAGGTTATTTTATTTCTATATATATATAAAACAATGAGGACATATGTTTATTGAACAGACTAAGAAATAACGATGAAATTGATTATTTCTAAAGTGAAATTCACTGAACAAAATTAATGAAGTATATTTCTTAAGCATCCACAATTAAATGACTCTACCCAAGCATTGGAGCTCTGGTAGCACAGTGTCTAAGGCATCTGACTGCTAACCAGAAGGCTGGTGGTTCAAACCCACCAGCCACTATGTGGAAGGAAAACTGGGCAATCTACTTCCATACAGATTTACTGCCTTAAAACCCAATGGGGGTCACTATGAGTCAGAATCAACTTGATGGCAGTGGGGTTTTTGTTGTTGTTGTTTACCCAAGTATTATACAGAGTCAACAGAATGAAATGATTCATGTGACTGAACGTGACTGGAAGTTAATAAAGAGCAAGCACAATTTCCTTAAAAAGATTTAAAGCTAAAAGGAACAAGTAACATCTGATGGGGAAAATGAATCAAAACAAATTCAATCTGAAGAAAATGTGCTATTAGGATTAGAGAACCCATAGCCAAGAAATGGCAAATCATCTTTATCCTAAGTGTCAATTCTGAACAATTGGTAGCAGTCCTGGAATACAATATTGAGTATCATAAGGCTGTAGCTAGACAGCCATAAGCAGTCAGTGATGCAGACTTAGGGAAGGTGGCTACAGAAATACTCACCACCTCTGCACTGGTTTATAACTTAATTTCATCTGACCTGTAGGACTCACCCAAGAAATGATTTATAAATATCTACAAAAACCATAACATGACTTTAATTCTTTAGCAGCACTATCACACAAGGGCACAAGGTAAAGCTTCTATTCCTTGAAAATTGGCATTTTCTTCTGAAAAACTCAATTAAATACATACTTCTTATTTTCTAAAGCAAGGGAATTTTTTGTTGTTATTGTTGTTGGGGGAGGAAGAGGGATTTAAGAGTATTTGTGCTTCTCAGCTTTAGGCAAGAGTTTTAAAGACTTGAAAATCTATTCTGGCCACATTTACCTCTCTTTAATTTTTCAATTCTAGAGTGTGGCATAGTGGAAAAGCACACACTTTGAAGTCAGAGACAAATGTCCAAATCCTACCACTTTATTATACAGGGCTGTTGGAACAATGGGAGCTCTGGTAGCATAGTGCCTAAGCCATTTGACTGCTAACCAGAAGACTAGAGGTTCAAACCCACCAACCACTCCTCAAAAGGAAGGTTGGGCAATCTACTTCCATAGGGATACTGCCTCAGAAACCCAAGAAGGGGTCACTATGAGTCGGATCTGACTCGACAGCAGTGAGTAGTTAGTTGGAAGTATAAGAGGTGAAATTAAAGTGCTTAGCATAGTGCCTTACACACAGTAGATGGACAATAGTTGCTAACCACTATTATCATCATTATGAAATAATAATTATATTTTAATGAATTCAGTAATTTTTTTGACCCAAGGATGTTGAGAAACATTTTTGGCTGCTTCAGTATTTCTCTCTTCTTCAATCTGTGTGTTAACAAGATCTTATCTTCCCTAGTCAGTCACAATATAGAAATGAAGTATATCCACTCCTCACTTATCAACATGATTAGGTTCCAAAGACCAGCTTATGCGAAAATCAACATTATACAAAAGTGGAAGATGACCACATCAGATCACAAAATGCCAAATCACAACATTACATAACAACAAAACTACTAAGAATCACGGTCCAGCCAAGATGACACATAACCTTAACCATCACAGCCAGAGCTGCTCTGGCTCGTACCATACATTGTTAATGCGCAATACAGCCATATAGATTTTTTACTATTGTAAATTTGAAAAGTCAGATGTGACTTGATAAGTGAAGAGTAGGTATAGTCTTAATTTTACATATTTATTAAAGAACTGTGTATCATATTTTCTATCTATAATTTTTTAATAGATGACAGTGACAGTCCTTTTTCTTAAAAAGACAAATTATTTCAATAAAGTTGTCAAAAAGACAAAAATTAAGTCAGTTTCTCTATGTGTTCTAATGATCTTTTTGGCCTCTGATAGGTTTGTTAATCTTATTATTACATTACAACTGTATTTTACAGTTAACTTATACTTGTGTTTTCAGTCTTGATAACTACAGTTATCAGTATTTATCAAGTTATAAATACTGAGATGCTGTACACATTTCATGGGAACCCTCTATATATCGTAGAGTTCCTGGGTGCTGCAAATAGTTAATGTGCTCAGCTGCTACCTGAAAAGCTGGAGGTTTGAATCTACCCAGAGGCACTGAGGAGAAAGGCCTAGTGATCTACTTTTGAAAATCGGTGACTGTTATGTTATGTTATGAAAGGGGATGCCTTAAAATCACGTCAAGTGAACACTTTGCTCTATCAATATACAAGGTAATTAAAAATTAGTTATTTGAAATATAATTCAATTTTTTATCTGCACAAGTAGGCCCTATAAATTTGGTTTCTCCAAATTGAATATTACTTACCTGACAGCCACTGTATTGGATGAAATAAATCAATGGTGCTAAAGATTATAAATACTGTCATACAGACGGGTAGAAGCAGCACTGACCAAACAACACTTGCAACTATCCTCCAGCCTAAAACCTGTAATTAAACAAAACAAAAACTCTTAATTATAGACTCAGTTAAATTATTTCAGTTATGCAAATCCTGAATTTGCATACAAGGTGCAAATTTCACACAGGTGTTAAAAATGTTAATCATTAATATTTATACTCAGATCTTAGTGCATATAGCTATATATAAACCCAAACAGTCAGTACTATTAATAACATACCATATTTGTGAATTGATATATGTCCATAGTCCATAGTCAAGCACTACATCAAATAACACACTTTAGGGGAGGATAGGATTATCTCATTTAGTTTTACAACTGTATTTTACAGTTAACTTATACTTGTCTTTTCAGTCTTGATAATTGTAGTTACATAAATAATGAGAAGCTGTACACATTTTATGGGAATCTTCTATATATCATAAGAGTCCCTGGGTGCTGCAAATAGTTAATGTGCTCAGCTGCTAACTGGAAAGCTGGAGGTTCGAATCTACCCAGAAGCACTGAGGAGAAAGGCCTAGTGATCTGAAAAATCTGCCACTGAAAACCCTTTTAAGCACAGTTCTACTCTGTGACACAAATAAGGTCACCATGACTCAGAATCTACTCTGTGGCAATTGTTTTTCTTTTTTTTTTCCCCATATGTTGTATTGGTGTTCACAATTATAACATGTGCTTCTTACTGAGCAGCTACTCTATCACATTCATTTCTGAATCCTCGGCACTTAGCAGACATGAGGCACAAGCTTTGCTGTTAAATAAATAAAGACAAGGGGAGATAGAAAAGGCTTTAGAACAGAAGTGACAGTCAAATTTTATTTGGGAAAGTGAAACACTCTTGTGTTTGGACAGTTAACTGTGAGGACAGATCAGCAGGGACAAGATATATCTAGACAGGGGACAAAGGAGTTAGGTGGCAAGTCAACTGCAACAGTTCATGCCAAAGATTATATAGCTAATGTCTGAATGAGAGCAGTGACAATGTATAAAAAAAAAAATTCAACAAATTCAGCCACATTTCTGAGGATTAATCTACAGGACTTGGTGATTGTTAACATAGACGCGAAAAAACAGGTAAAAATTCAGGACTCAAAACGTTTTTAGCTTGGAGTACAGGATAGATGGTGATGCTATGGGAGTAGAAGCACTCTCTGAACAGAGTGCTCCTTCTCCTCTTTCACCCTCCACAGAATGGATGCAGTACTGCTGTTTCAACTTCCATAACCTCAAGCTCACAGCACATACAACCCTCTAACTTTTTACAAAAAACACCTGCCCAGCGTACCACACTCCGAACCCCAGCCTCTGCTGAATGTGCCACCCTACATTCTCCCCAATTCTAGACCTTCCTTTCTACTTCTTGCACCAAATCATCACGTTGTTTATTTTTACGCCACCCTTGCATAAAACTCCTCCCCACTCCCTGTCCCAATTTTCACTCAAGTCATCCCTCTCACTCTAACCAGCTTCCACTAAACACAATCTTTAGTGGAAGACAACGGTCCAGCTTCCTCGTAGAAGTGGCCTCATGTCTAAGGCATTTGACTGCTAACCAGAAGGCTGGCCGTTCAAATCCACCAGCCACTTCTCAGAAAGAAGAGTGGGCAATCTACTTCCGTAGTAATACTGCCTCGGAAACCCAAGGAGGGGTCGGTATGAGTCGGATCCGACTCGACAGCAGTGCGTTTGGTTTGGTTTTCCCTTCCACCCAGTAACCGGATTCCACCCTGTAACCGGATTCCACCCTGACTTTTCTCCCATTCCGTAACCAGCTACCACTCAGGACGCCCCACATGCACATGCCCTGTAACCCGCTTCCACTTAGGCTACATCTCCCACCCCAGAAAAACAATTATAAACCCTGTAATCAGCTTCCACAGGTAGCTTCCTCCCCACGCGCTCTTCCCCTCAGACTGGCCCTTGCCCCGCCCAGCGCGCACGACCCTAACACCAGCCGAACACAAGCCACACTGCGCTCTACACTCACGCGCCACAGAGTGTCCCGCGACGCACCCGCGCAGGGACGGCTCCCAGCCATGGCCATGGAGATGGCGGATCCCACTCTGAGAAGAGCAGGCAGCAGTGAGCCCACCCGCCACTAAACTTCAAAGGGAGGTAGGCCCCAAGAGGACCCCGATGGGGCTGCCTCAAACGCTGCCCGACAGAAGACTGGCCCATGCCCCAACCTATCCTTCCGAAGCTTCGTCTGGACTGGCTCAATGGGCCAGAACCGCCCTATAGACACGTTCCCCAGAGGGGACTGTGATTTTTAGGGCCCGCCCTTTGGGATTTAGAAGGTCTCTCCGAAGCAGGGTCAAGCGGGGCTCCAGAAACAGGGAGCAGTGCTGCATGTTGGGAACTGTAGTCTCGTTGGCCCTCTGGGAGCATGTACTGTTGCAGGAGAAAGAGCTTTGCATTCTGGGACTCGGAGTTCCGATGGTCCCACAGTACAGCATGCTGGGTGTCGAAGTCTTCCGCAGATGCCTTAGGGCATGTTAGGAATTGTTGTTGTTGTATTGTAGTCTTTTATAAAACCGATATTAGCAAAAATATTAACGTACTTGATAGGAGCATTGGTGACGCTGTGATAAAATAATGGCGGCTAACCGAAAGGTGGGCGGCCGCTTTGCGGGTGAAAGATGTGTCTGTCTGCTTCTTTAAGATTACTGCCTAACCTTGGAAAGCCTATGGGGCAGTTCTACAGTGTACTATAAGGTCACTATGAATTGGGATCCACTCGACAGCAATGGATTTATTTCTTCATCATAACACTGCATTTAGAAAGTTTTGGCAAAATGATTTGCCCTGTTTTATTTTATCAACTTCCTGAAAATGAAACTAATGGATGTTGTAGTTGGCTCCGTGATAGGTACTCATTAATTTTACTGAAATTGAAAAGTCTCCTTCTGTAGTGGTGCATTTGGTTTTCTTAAGATCTGTTTTCTAGTTCCACCTCTGCCACTTGGTAAGCAGAATATCTTTCCCCTCCTTGAGTCTCTATTTCTTTGTCTGTAAAATAAGGATAAAAGCAAAGAATATCCTAGTGATGTAAAGACTTAATGAAACATAACATCCTGGTGATGTTGTGACGATGTAATTAAAATGCTATACAAATATTGATTATCATTTATTTTTCTGTCAGTGGGGAAAAGGGCTTTTCACCAACCCAAGCCCTGCTTAATGAAGTCCTCTCTGATTGCTTTAGGCCTCAGTGTGATCCATGGAAGAATACTGCTAATATCTTCTAATACCCAATTACATACCACAGTCAACATTCAATACTCTGGAAAGGCAGAGATAGATTTAGTGGTTTACTGACCAAAGAAACTCACAGTCTAGTGAAGGAATTTGCAATCATGCATCATACTGTTCTGTATTGTTTGCTAGTAATTGTTTCCAGAGTTATTTTAAGGTTTTATCCATCATACTCTCTTCCAAAAACATGTTACTATTGATCATGCCAGAGGCACTTCAATACAAACTGAGACTATATATGTAAATCAAGTTTCTGCTGCAAAGAAACCTTCTATTTAAAGTGAATGATTATAAAGAATCAGTCTAAGTGAATGTCCACGTACATACCTTAGGCTACTCAGATTCAGATCATCTGGTTTAGTTATGTGGTGAAGACTACTAGTTGTCTTCCCCAATATCTAGTCTCTCCTTCTTTCTTAGTAATAGAACCTCCAATTTTTAACTGGACACATGACTGCCTAGAATTAAGGGTACATTTCCCAATCTACCTTGCAGCTAGGTGTGGCAGGTGAATGAATTCAGGCCTATAAAATATCGTCAAAGTATTGCCTGATAGCTTCCCAGAAACCCTCTGAAAAGAGAGTGAGCACATATTTTTACCCCTTCTTAACCCCTTCCCCCATCTGGCTGCCTAGAACTTGAATGTGTTAACTGTCACTCTAGTACCATATTGGGCTCTAGGGCAAAGATTCACACCATAGGGAAAAGGAAGTACTGAGCTTGAAGGAACCTAGGTTAGTGGGAGCAACCATAACAGGCCTGCACTACCAGCCATAACACTCCAGAGCCTTTACTGCCTGACTTCATTTACAGGAGAGAAACAATTATTTGTTATTTAAGCCATTTTTGTTTTTTATAGCACTTACCATAATATGAAATCATCTTGTGTAATTATTTGTTTACTTGCTTATTGTTTGTCTTCCAACTAGTATACAGGTTTCAGGAGAGCAGGGGCTTTGTCTATTTTGCTTATCATTGTTTCCAAATTGCCCACCACATTAGTAGGTAGTCAGTGAATGCTTGTTAAATGAACAAAAAAAAAGAATAAATAGAAGAAAGTGAATATATAAGACAGTGTCTATTGAGAATAACAAACATAATAGATACTGAAGGATTTACCTTAGGGGATTTTTAACAATGTGTTGGAAGGGCTGAAAGAGTATAAGGGAAATTGAACAAGGCTGTAATAGCAAAAGGGAGAAAGATGTTGTTGCCCACATATCAGAAAGCTACTACTCCCCTCTGGGAGCTCTGGTAGCATAGTGGCTAAGGCACTTGACTGCTAACCAGAAGGCTGGCGGTTCAAACCCACCAGCCACTCCTCAAAAGGAAGATGGGGCAATCTACTTCCGTAATGATACTGCCTCAGAAACCCAAGGAGGGGTCGCTATGAGTCGGGTCTGACTCAATGGCACATAACAACAACAACAATAACCCTCAGCATTAGAGCCTATGAGCCTACACTCATAGGCAGAGCTGCTGAGAGTAGTACTACTGTTGTTGCTGCTATTAGAATCACACCATTGCTGTTGAGCAGGAACTGAGGAGCTAATATTCTTTGTAGCTGTTGAAACCATCACAAGTGCCCACAACTGTCTTAGATCTAGTGCTGCTATAACAGAAATACCACAAGTGGGTGGCTTTAGGGAGCTCTGGTGGCGTAGGGCCTAAGGCCTTTGACTGCTAACCAGAAGGCTAGAGATTCAAACCCACCATCAGATGGCTAGAAGTCTGAATGCAGGGTACTGCTGGCTGTAGGGAAAGGCTTTCTCTCTGTCAGCTCTGGAGGAAAGTCCTTGTCTCTTCTAAGTGTCTGTTTTCCTTGGCTATCTTCATGTGGCTTGGCATCTCTCTTCCCCTAATTCTGCTTTTTCTTCTGCTTGCTTAATCTGCTCCTTTATATCTCAAAAGAGATTGATTTAAGACACATCCTATACTAGGGGATCTATGTAGGAGATCCTGGATAGAGTGTGAGAACAATG